CGCTGCTGGGCCTCGCTGTCTTGGAGCTCAGAGCAGCTGCCCTGGGGAGAGCTGGGGAAAGTGAAGGGACATCTCCCTGGGCGCCCTGGCTTCTCACCCACCTGCTGGGCGGCAGCAACACTTGCTGGGACCGCCCCCCCCCCCCCCCCCACCAACCCCCAGGCCTGGGAGGAGGCAGGGGAGGGAGGCGGGAGAGGGACGAGGGTCAGTGCCCCACTGGGTGTCCTAACCCTGCTGTTTGTCCTACTGCAGGCGACAAGCTGTCCGTGACAGAAGAGGACAGAGGGGAGACACCAGGGTCAGGTCTACTTTGAAGCTCGAGGTCCTTTGAATCTCTGTATTCAGCATCAGTGACTGAGGTCCCTAAGGACCCCTCACCTCCGGCCTGTCTGTGACCTTTCTCCCACTTAGCAACCTGCAAAGCCTCGCCTGTAGAAGTCAATAAATGATGAGATTTGAAGTGTGGTGACACCGCATGGTCTCTGAGCCCCCATCTCCCCTGGGAATTCTCCCCGCCAGGCTCCGGCCTGAGACCCCCCCAGACCAACACACCTTTGTGTGAGGGCTGGTTGCACCTCCAGGGCCTTTTCTGGGCTCTATGCCTGCAGCTCCCCCAGGGGGTGGGGGGGAGGGGGGTAGGTCTAGAGCACGTTGGCCCCGCCCCGGGCACTTCCCCAGCCTCAGCGCCGGGCACAGAGAGCAAGCAGGTCGGTGCTCACAATTCTTCACATCCTCTCTGTGCCGCTCCTCACCTCCTTAGCCACTCTCTCTTATTTCACCCGGAACCAGACCCGTTCTGGCCTCTGACCTCTGGGCCCCCTCCTCTCTGGGCAGCAGAAAAGACCCATCTCCACCAGACCCACTGTTTCTCCAAGCCCTTAGCACACCAGTGTCTTCTCTCAGGGCACAGCCCCTCCCAGAGCGCAGACGGTTGGCGCTGGGGCTGGGCCAGGAGTACAGGCACGGTGTCTGTCGGTGTTGTCTGTACTGTGCCCCCTGCTGCCCCACCCCACACTTCCAGCCTCATTTCTCCCCCCATTTTCTTTCAAGGGCATCCGCACCCACCTGTGGAGGTCCCAGTGTGCTAGCGGGTTTATTCATGTCTAAGCCCCAATGTGGTTAAGGTCCTAGCTCTCCCCCACTCTCTTCCCCCTCCCCCTCCCCAGCAAAGTATGGGAATGAGTAGAGTTTCAATGGGGGAATTCGAACATAAACTACTTCGCCGTCCTATTCTGCATGATCTTGGGGTGAACTGGAACCACAAGTAAGGGGTGCGATGAGGAGTTGATACAGGAGCCTAGTTTTGCAGAAGGGGCAGGTTGGGGAGGAGGCATCTCCCGTTCCTCACTCCCGCTCTGGCCGGGCCCTAAGGTGCTGGACGGGGGGATGCAGCAGGTGCTCATGGGCCTGACCTCAGCTCGTCCTCGCTGCCCATCACTGGCCTCGGGGTGGGGTCGCCCTGGTTCTGGGGCAGGGCCTGCGCCTGGAGCACGGGTTGTACTGCGTGACCCTGGGACCCAGGCTCTGCAGGGTCACCATGGTTTCCCCTTTCGGATCTTTGATGTTGAAATGGTGGTGGTTTTTTTTTGTTTTTGTTTTTTTGCATTTGTTTGTGCTTGTTCTTTTTTTTTCTTTTGAGTTTAATTGACATACAACATTATATTAATTTCAGGTATTGCTAAGAGAGTAAGTCTCAAAAGTTCTCATTACAAGAAAAATGTTTGTAACTATGTATGGTGAAGGCTGTTAACTACTTATGATGGTGATCATTTTACAATATATGCAAATATCGAATCATTATGCTGTACGCCCGGAACGTCATCCTGACCCCTTCATGAGAGCCTTGTCCCCCCAAAGCCATTCCTGGCCGCCAGGAGCGTTGTGTCCCGCAGGCACACACCCTGCTCTCTTCTGTCTCTGGTGGGAAATGTGGCCCCTGGATGATGTCGGGCCTCAGAGCCTCTCTGTGGGTTGGGCCCACATGGGATAGGCTCCCCCCCATCATTCCCCTGAGCCAGGCCCCCCAAGAGCAGTGGCTCTGCACTTACCTGGGGTGTCTTTGCCCTGAGCCCAAGGGGAGCTCAACATCACCAAGGGCATCAGCAGAGCGGCCATGCAGGGGGCCCCAGCAGCCTGCGGGGCCACCATCCTGGATCCCGGGGTGGGGGTGGGGAGGGGGGAGGCCTGGCCGAGAGATTCGCAGAAGGAGCAGCGTGCACTCTGTGGGTCTCCCTCCTCAACTATTAGAGTCATGAGCCAGGACAGCCCCTGCATCGGTTGTGGCCAGATTCCAAAAAGGGAACCAATGGGTAGGACTTGTCCCTCCAGGCAGAGGGTGGGGACCACCGCCGGCCAGTGGCCCAGATCACCCAGCACCAGCGGGAGGCGCTGAGGCAGCGGAGTTGCACCGGGACCACCAGGAGGGCGGTGTGCAGGTGGCTCTGCTTCACCTTCACCCAGAGAAGGGGAAGGAGACGCTGCAGCGCAGGTACCTGGGGCCGCGGGGCCTCCTCGCTTCCCCTCGGGCTGGGGCTCGAACACACCAGGAGGCAGGAAAGGCGACCAGGGTCAGAACACCCGCTTCTTGGGGTCAGGAGACTGAGTCCACCTGGATTTTCAGATCCGAAACCGGAGAGTGAGTTGCCCAGAGGGCTCACCCTTCTCTCCGGGACGGTTAGGGTGCAGTCTCTCGCTCGTTGATGTTTCTATCTCTCTATCCCTCTCCTTTTCTCCCTCTAAAAAAAAACAACATACATACATATTTAAAAAATACTAGCACAGCCCTAGAGTCCCACTCAGTCATTAGCAATGAGTCCAGCCCATCATCCTATTGAGGACATTTACATGGCCCATAAATTTATGAAAATTGCTCAACATTTTTAGTCAGGAAATTCACATTAAGCCAGAAGGTGATGTCACTGCACCCCTCCCAGAATGGCAAAGTGAAAAACTCAGACAAAACCAACTGTTGGCAAGACTTTGGACTAATTCTATGTCGTGTATTGTTAGTGGGAGAGTAAGTTGATGCAAATACTTTGACAAACGCTTAGACAGTACTCTCTACACCCAAACATTTGCTCTCAGAAATTCCACTCAGTTATATACGCAGCAGCCATGCTCGCATCTGTGTGCCAACATATGTGAAGGGATTATTCACAGCAGCGCGACTTGTAAAATCCGGGTACAACACACATGCCCGTGAGCAGTAGAGGGCCAGGAGTGTGGTTGTTCGCATGTGGGACGCCCTGCAGCCATAGGAGTGAATAAGCTACGGCCACACACAGCCACAGGAATGAGGCCCCGACAACAGTGAGTGAGAGCCAGGCACAGAGGGGTGCCCCTGGAATATCTCACGCTCAGAATCTGACAGAACTCATCTCTGGTGTTAGACACGAAGGGAGTGGTTACTGGGGTGGGGGCAGTGTGTGACCAAATAAGATCCGAGGGCCCTGGGGTGCTGGGAGCGCCGTGGGCAGTGTCCACCCTGACATTCGCTCTGTGGAAGCCACTGGACACCACGCTTTGTCCACCCTCTCTGTGGGTGTGGTCCTTCATGAAAGTAGACTTTTCTGGATTTTTGAAATAATTCTCTTAAAGCCAACCTGGAATTATTCTCACTAACGCCTTTGGAAATGCGTCTGGGGTGTGGAGTGGCAGGTGGCCACGCGCCTTCCCCGACGCTGAGCTTCCCCCCTTAGACTGCGCCCTCGGGCTGAGCCCCTGAGAGCCAGGCCTGGGCTGGACCCGATCCCGTCATCGCACCGCTTTCCAGAGCTTAGGCCGCCCTGCAAGGATGCTGGGGAGGTGGTGGCAGAGCGTGGGAGCGGGAAATGCGGGCGGTGGAAGGGCGGGCTGTTGGCAATGACAAGGGCGAGGGGACGGCAAGGGAGTGGGGCCCCGGAGAGCCGAGCGGAAGGTCAGGGAGGAGCGGAGCTCAGGGGCGTGAGCGGCCGGCTGAGAGCACCCTTTCCGCTGGGCGTGTCCTGTTCCTGTTGTAAAATCACTGCCAACCGAGTGGCTTTACGCGCGGCCATTCATTATCTCGCGGCTGCAGGCTACACAGCCCAGGTCCTCTCGGGGCCAGAACCAGGCGCGGCAGGTCCCTGCTCCTCACGGGGCTCTGGAGGCACCCACTGCCCAGCCCGGCGCTTGATTGTCTGAATGCAGATTCCTGCGGAGCAGGACTGAGGTCCCCCTTCCTTGCTGGCTGTCAGCTGGAGCCCCCTGAGCTCCTAGGGGACGGCTTGGGCCCTGGAACGTGCCCCGGCGGCACCGATCCTTCCCCCGTGGAACCTCCCTGACCTCCTGGCCCTCATCTCTCCTGCAGCGTCTCCCACTCCAGCCGGAAACACTGCTCTGCTTTCCGGTTTCCAGCGGTGACTGCCGGCCCGCTCACCCAGCGCCCCCTGTCCAAGGTCCTGAACCGCAATCCACCACCCAAGTCTCTGCGGGTAAGGACACCGCCCACCGGCTCCAGGGACTGGGCTAGACGTCTGCTCAGCCTTCCACGTCTGCTTGTGCTGAAAGCACCGAGGATCAAGGAGGGAGCACCCTGGGGAGAGTGACAGCGAGCGGAGCTAAAAGGAGTGGGGGTCCCTGCAATGAGGGGGTGGGGGCTCCAATCTGACGATGGATTAGGGGGTGTTAGGGAAGAGGGAGGGTCAAAGCAGCTGAGGAGCAAGCACCCCACCCACCACAGGCCCCGAGGCACAAGGTCAGAGGGAGCGTGGACTCAGGGAACCTCCTTTATGTTTGGGGTTATAATCCAGCACGTTGTTGCTCGCACTGTCCCAGCTGCGTTCATAGTCAGCGGTGCTGGGGCTCGGGGGCCCAGCCTCGCACTCCACCTTGGGGAGGTACATTCCCCTTCCCACATTCCAAGGTGTTCCTGGCTCACCTTGTATTTGTTTATGTCTTACCCAGGAATCAGCTATTTTCCTGAAGAGCTCTGGGTCCTTTTATTGGAGGATGATATTTTGAGACCTGCCGCAACCTGCAGGGTGGGTTTCAGGATGACCTATAGGAGGGCTGATGCACGATGAAGATACTACATATGAAATATGAATTTTTAAGGCATGGGAGGCCAGGTGGAGCCTCTTGCAAGAAGAGGAACCCACAAGTCTGGGTCCTGACTGCTTTTATTCAGTTTGGTTACACATTTGCCCTTTAGCAATGCATGCAGGCAGAGCAGATAGAATCAAAGGTCAGTAAAGTTTAGTAAACAACGTAAAGATTATCAATCAGGAAGTCCCCTCCAGCCATTGCCATCACTGCAGGAGCGATCTATCCTGATATCAGCCCAGCTGAGATTGAGGCCCATCGGCCTTCCAGTGTCTCTCTTGCACTTTCGTGCTAATGCTGCTACGGGTGGTTTACAGCAGAGACCAGGTCTGTACTCATTTCACTTTCCAAAGAGGACACAGGTCCCGAGGGCTGCCCGTGCTCCCCTGCCCGGCAGGCGGCTCTCAGCACTTGCTGGGGCAGCCTTGTGTGGCCAGCACTCCGGGCCAGCCCTCCACGTGCACCTTTATTTCTTAAAGCTTCTCTTGTTCCACTCTGCAGGGCTCACACATTCATAATTATATTCCCTAATATTTGGAGATTTTCCTAAAAACACTAATTTTAAGTTTCAGTAACAAGTTTCACTTATAAAATTGACCAGAATAGGCAAGAGGGAGAGGGAGGAATCCCTCACGTTTTCTCTTCAGGTGGGATATTTCTCAGTTCCTGCTGCTCCTTCCGTGGGCCCGGGCCTGGGGGAAGGATGGCTCCCTTGGACCATGAGAGAAAAATGATGATGTGGGGACACCTTCTCCATCACCTCCCCACCCCTCGGCTTTCCCTCCGGCCGGCGGTGCCCATTCTCCCTCCCCACCCCCACCCAGGAGCCTTTCCCTCTCTCACCTCAGCTATTGCCCAGCCTCTGCTGAGAGTCCCTGCCCAGTGGGGGGTGAACCGGTCTTTCCACTGAAGGGCAGAGAGGAGAGAGGTCAGAGCCAGGGAAGGAAGGACGTGAGAGCAGGAAGGACTTGGGAATGAGGGAGAGGTGTGAGGGATCAGAGTGGCTGAGTTTACTCCTGGCCTCTGCTTAGGAGGGAATGGAGGGGCCTTGGGTGCAGGGGCAGAGAGCGTGGGCAGAGCACGGATGAGATCCACCCTCACCTTCACCCCTGGCTCTGACAGCACCTCACCCCAGGTCACATTGAGGGCCCTTCGGCCCAGGTGCCCCACCAGGCAGGTGTGTCTCAGCTCCTCTCTGGGGAGGACCCCCACAGCTGTCTATCACTCACGTGTCTTATCCCCCAGGTCGGGTCCCCCTCTGTCCCGAGTCCACAGTCAGCAACTTCCCTTCCCGCAGCCACGTCCGCCTGTTGCTGGCAGGTACAGAGACGAGTGGTCATCCCCTGATAGTGTGGCTGCCCTCACTGTCCTACTTCAGTCACCACAACCTGGGGGACTGGATCCAGAGGAGCCACAGCAGAGGGACACGTGGGCTCCCCACCTCCACTTCCCCCATCTCTACTTCTTCCCTCGCCTCCTAGTCTCCCTCCACACAGCAGCGCCCCCCACCCCGCCCCCTCCCCCGCTTCAGGACTTCTAAAAGCCAGAGCAGGAAGGAGAGACTGGAGAGACCAAGGACCCCACCATTCCCTGCCGGAAGTCTGCCCTGTGTGCCCCATCTATTCCCACGGCAGTTTTATCATCTGTCTGAGCAGAGGCTGGGCACGTGCAGAGGGCGATCCAGGAATGCCCTTCCTTCAAATATCTGCATGGCTCCGTTTCTCAACTGCTTCCGTCTGCTCGAATGTCGCCCCGATGGGGCCCATCTGACCTCCCTCCTGGAAAGTGCCACGTGGGGGTTCCGGTGAACATGGTGGAGAACATGCGGTGCTTGATTCCTCCCCTGGCCACATCACAGTGACAACCAAATTATAGAGCAATTGACCTGGAGAACCACCTGCAGATCAGCTGACCGGAAGTCCTGTAACTGCGGGCATGAGGAAGAAGCCGCGTGGAGACTGGAGGGAGGGGTGACAATGTGAAACAGGTCGGCCCCACACCCACCTGTGGTGGTTGAGAATCAATCCCATTTACCATCGCACCAAAAAAAATTAAGATACCTAGGAATAAACTTAACTAAAGAGGTAAAAGACCTCTACTCAGAAAACTACAGGATGTT